GGATTGAAGTTAAACGCTTTAAATATTTTTTCATGTTTTGACCATTCTTTTATCACCGTATTAACCAATAATGTTCTGACGAAACTAAGTTAAATACAACTTACACACCTCGTTTCCTGTCCCCAAGATGCTGAAATGCACATGAGGAAAAATGATAATGAAAAAAGTCATAAAAAATATGTCATTGAGAGGCATGTTTTCTCTTTGTTAATTTACATTTGTGTATGTGTGTGTGCATGAATGTATGGACGCACAATCCTATGGCTTTTATAGACGACACATCACCATTTCATGAATCAGTTTTGTATTTCATTTTTTATTTTATTTTATTTTATGAGAGAGTTTTGCTCTGTCACCCAGGCTGAAGTGCAGTGCCACAATCTCGGTTCACTGCAGCCTCCACCTCCCAAGTTCAAACAATTCTCTGCCTCAGCCTCCCAAGTAGCTGGGATTACAGGCACCTGCCACCAGACCAGCTAATTTTTATATTTTTAGTAGAGACAGAGTCTCGAACTCCTGACCTCAGGTGATTCACCCGCCTTGGCCTCCCAAAGTGTTGGGATTACAGGCATGAGCCACCTCTCCCGGCCAGAAAACAATCTAAATCTCTAACAGCAGGAGATTATTTAAGTCATTTTCAGCACGTCCTTCTTTTGGAGGTTGCTTTTCAATCTCTTGATTCTTTCTTTTGGTGCAGGGTCTTCCTACAAGTTTCTTTCTCCTCCATCACTCCTGGTGCAGTCGGTGGCAGAGGACTGTCTTTGCACGGGGTGAGGTCTTCCTTGTGTGTATGGTCGTGGCACAGGGAGCGGGTGTGTTAATTCTAGGCATTAAATAACTTCTTTTTCATTCCAGATTAACCTTTAAAGACACATGTGGCCTCAGGAAGAAGTCCAGAAGAGAAGAAAGAGGAAAGAAAGAGGAGACAGGGATGGCTCTTCCTCAGGTAAAGTGATATTCTCGGTGGATTGTTCTGTTTCCTTTTTTTTTTTTTTTTTTTTGAAGAGAGAGTCTCACACGTCACC